AACAATTTCGGTAACTCCAATAGAAAAACCATTATTTTCCATCATCGTGGAAAAATTTTGTTTATGCAAATGAGTATGGAAACTGAACAGGCACAACTTCTAGAAACACTAATTGGTTTACTTATGTTTATGCATACNGCTGTTCACATCTGAGTATGGATATGTAAGTGTACATACGCATCCCAAGCATGCAGAGCGCCGCTCTGAGAGCGGTGACAACACACNCGACAAAAAATTTTGTTCACAATTTGTTTTATTTTAAATTATTTTTTTATAATCTCGCCTTCAATTTGGTAATTATTACGTACCGATCGAGTATCATTTACCAAAGTTATATCGAAAAACTTAAGTGGATCTCCAGTTTTTTTTTCTAAAAAAAATTCTCTGTGTATAAATAACTTTTAAATGATAGAACCGGATTCCAGAAAAGTGTGTCAGGGAGTGACTTTTTTCGTTCAAGCTAAATGCAAAGCAATATCGTCCAATTGGAGAGTCCTCAAAAGGATTTCCCAGGATATGTTAAATACTTTTGCATTTACCTACAGTCACTTTTTCACATAATGGAATTAACTAAAATATTTATATGTATCTAAACACTTATTGCACGTCCCCTACTTTCATATAATGGCAGATTTAGAAACCGCGAACAATTTTCAAGACTGCTTAAATGGACTTAAAATGGGCGTTTCTCACCCTAATTGTATTATGTTAATGTATGTAAATACTTATATGCTTGAAACTACTATTAACATATCAATCGATTCCTAATCTTTGACAATACATATTTGACTTCATTCACCGCAATCTTGATAACTGACCAAATCGGCGTGACCAAGTCCATGGCCCACTTAATATTATATAAACATCGGAAAACATTAGAACGTTTGAAATAAATCTCGTCTCACTTTTTTGAATTTTTCACTTGGTTGCTGAAGTAATGACGAATTGAATTCATAAGGGAAAATTATAGTTTTTGTAAGTTTTATCTTACTATCTTAAAAACTTGTAGACTTATTGAAAACTGATAAATGATCGTGAGATACTAAATTTAATAACACTTAATTTGATATATCGTCCTGTTTATAACAATTAACGCATACCATAGATATTACAAGCCAAAGTTTAATTTTAAAAATTCACACACTTTGATTTAATTGCGCGGGCTAAAGATAAGTTTTAAATTAATCTTTCGTGTCCAATAACAATTGGTTTAGACCTAAGACATCATAATATTACTATTACAATACGGTCAAATGCCTTTTATTTTCCCCCATACAAACTCGACCCAGCCTAATGAATATCATCATGCATGTGCAGACAAGCATATGGGCGTACGCAGGTTCGCTTCTTTCTATGAATTCATGATCAATTTCCAATTCAAAAAATTTATGCACATCCATTTCCTTACACTGAGGTGCATAGTAAAAAGGAATACTTTATATTTGATTATCGTTTAAAAATTTTCGTATTTAAAAATAATATTTTCGTACAAAATTTATTACGCACGTATTTGGCTGTTCACATCTGAGTATGGATATGTAAGTGTACATACGCATCCCAAGCATGCAGAGCGCCGCTCTGAGAGCGGTGACAACACACACATCCATACATGGTACATACATGTTTATCCGTACAAATCGCGTGCTGTGGTGTTGATGGATATCCAACATTTGTAAGCGAATTTATATGGCTGGGTGTAGCTGAGTGCGCAAAGATGCTTGTCACAAGTTGTTGATATCCGGAGATGGTCGGGTTCGAATTCCACTACAGGCAACAGCAAATTAAATTTTTTTTTTTTAGTTTTAGTTTCTTGATTATTCACTTCACGGATGCTTTTTCAGTACGAACGTGGTTATTTTAATATGCGCGTTATTGAATTGAATATTTACCAATATACAGTACTTTCGTTGACGTTTATAGTAAGATCANAAAACTTGTAGACTTATTGAAAACTGATAAATGATCGTGAGATACTAAATTTAATAACACTTAATTTGATATATCGTCCTGTTTATAACAATTAACGCATACCATAGATATTACAAGCCAAAGTTTAATTTTAAAAATTCACACACTTTGATTTAATTGCGCGGGCTAAAGATAAGTTTTAAATTAATCTTTCGTGTCCAATAACAATTGGTTTAGACCTAAGACATCATAATATTACTATTACAATACGGTCAAATGCCTTTTATTTTCCCCCATACAAACTCGACCCAGCCTAATGAATATCATCATGCATGTGCAGACAAGCATATGGGCGTACGCAGGTTCGCTTCTTTCTATGAATTCATGATCAATTTCCAATTCAAAAAATTTATGCACATCCATTTCCTTACACTGAGGTGCATAGTAAAAAGGAATACTTTATATTTGATTATCGTTTAAAAATTTTCGTATTTAAAAATAATATTTTCGTACAAAATTTATTACGCACGTATTTGGCTGTTCACATCTGAGTATGGATATGTAAGTGTACATACGCATCCCAAGCATGCAGAGCGCCGCTCTGAGAGCGGTGACAACACACACATCCATACATGGTACATACATGTTTATCCGTACAAATCGCGTGCTGTGGTGTTGATGGATATCCAACATTTGTAAGCGAATTTATATGGCTGGGTGTAGCTGAGTGCGCAAAGATGCTTGTCACAAGTTGTTGATATCCGGAGATGGTCGGGTTCGAATTCCACTACAGGCAACAGCAAATTAAATTTTTTTTTTTTAGTTTTAGTTTCTTGATTATTCACTTCACGGATGCTTTTTCAGTACGAACGTGGTTATTTTAATATGCGCGTTATTGAATTGAATATTTACCAATATACAGTACTTTCGTTGACGTTTATAGTAAGATCAATTACGTTTCTATTTGATTTTAATATTTTTTCCCCTCAGTGTAGTTTTGGTAAACAGCTGGTTGTTGCTGGATAATTTTATCCACTGTGAACGTTCTTTTCAGTTTACTTTTGTTAGTCTGATAAGCACTAATTTACTTAAAAAAGGTAAGATAATTATTACCTATAAATATTTTCTCTTAGTTTGTACTGGAATTTATGTAGGTTAAGGTATGCTTAGCGTTCACAGAGGTTTTGTAGAAAAAACTAAAATGAAATCATCACTAAAGCGATTTATCGATTTGCAGAAGACACTCGAAGGCTGTTGTTTAAATAAACAAGTAATTTTTTAGCAAAAAACATAATCGACTTCAATTCTCATGTAAAACTTTAAGATTACCGTTAATTTCTTCATGATCCAATACTCGGATCTAAACCAAATTAGTATAAGACCTCCCCTGAGGCACCAGAAAAAGAATTATCGAAATCGGTTAATGTGGTATAAGGTTATGCGGTAACATACATAAAAAAAAATATTCCGATGAATTGATGACCTCCTCCTTTTTTGAAGTCGGTTAAAAGCCTAAAAATTAATGAGGTAAATTATTATTAATTTTTAATAGCTATATTTTAACATTTCTAATAAAATTTATATTATATGGTGTTTGTTATATAACCAGCTAGACTTAAAAAAAATTATAAACATTAAATAAACAAAATACAAATAGCCAAAACTAGTCAAAATATCGCACTCCTATTATTTTGTGGACCTGTATGTATCAAGATATAAACTTTGTCCTGTGGAGACGGGCAGTTTGTGTATAGAACTACAAGTATTTACACATGTGTACATATATTGTGAGATAAAAATCAAAAAATTATTTAGTCGCGTAAATTTTGTTTTTCTATCGAACTAATCGTTTTACTTAAAATAATCTTTATTTAAAAATTAAGAAATTTTTATTTGTTCGTGTGGGAAGTGAGTCCAGAGCCAAATTATAGCGTTTAACACATTTATTATAGGTAAACAAAAGTTCTAGCATAGAAGTTGTTGACTACTGGTGAGACATTGACTGCTCAATCATCATCAATGAAAAAATTTTGAAAAGAATTACACGCGTATTTGTCAATGTTATTGTGGCTTATTAACATTTTATTTTTAATATTTTTTTGAGCTTCGTACCACGATTGTTGACTCACGTTTCTTTTTTGCGGTTAGGGCTCGATATATTTATATAGTTAGATGAAATTCGATAACACTAAAAAAAATTAAGTACTTCATTATATTATAGACTTCTGTATGTATTTATGTATGCACATTTACTATATTGTTATTTGCAAATAACATAAATACATATGTATGTCCAAAAATGCATGTAAAAAAAGTAAAGTCGGAATTTTTAGGATTGTTCTATATCGAAAAAGTATACCCCTATTCTTTTATTTTGAAATCAAGAAATATTTAGAGGTCGCTCAAAGCGCTCAAAGTTTTCCATGTATTTAGTATGGGAAAAAGAGAACTTTTCGTCGAAATGGTGTGGAATTCTTGAAACTCAAGATTTTTCGATCGGAAGACTCTGTTTCTCTTCAACAGATTCCCAATAATAAGACCCAACAATTTTTTCTTAGTAACTATATTCCATAGGACCGCCAAAACCCATAGAAAATGCAAAGGGGGATAAATAAAGAATTTTAATTATTAAAAAATGGTTAAACAAATAATTGGATATTATTATTGGAAGTCTCCTGAAGAGAACCAGACAAGAATTCTATACCATTTCCACGAAAAGTGGTTTTTCCCCCATACAAAATACATGGAAAAGTTGGAGCGCTTTGAGCGACCTCTAAATATTTTGTGATTTCAAAATAAAAAAATTGGGGTATACTTTGTTTCGATATAGAACAATCCTAGGGGGTGAGAGCATTAAAATTCCGACTTAACTTATTTTGGACCACCCTAATGTGCATACATCCATACATATACATATATGTATGTAGATACACATACATAGTCAGGCAGGTTCTGCAATTCACCTCCGAGTGAATTTCAACCCCATTCAATTGGAATTCAAATTGGCATTGGTTGAAATTCACTCGGAAGGGAATTGCAGGACCTGCCTGAATATGTATGTATGTATATTGGTGGGCGCATATTGAACTTACCTGGCAAGTGTTCGTCATGTAACTGAACACTTCTATGCTGCTTTATAGTGGCCTTGATATTCTTGTAAAAAAAGTAGCTGCTCGAAATCCAAGCTGACAAACTGCATACAACATTTCTACAACCTTGCTTATGTGAATGGGTCTTTACCAGCGCGATTAATTACAATTTTATTTCAAATAATTCCTTTAAGCTCTAATTTTCTTGAAGCCTGAGAACAGCCCAACGACTCTAACGCTCTTGCCTTTTGCATCCGTTCGCTTTGTACTCGTTGAAAGTTTTTTTTGCTTATATTTCACGTGGTTTGTACTGCTATACTTTATATTTGTTGTTTATACGAACTTATTTTTGACCCTACTTATATTTTTTATGTTATTTACAAATTTGATTCACTTCCTTAACGTTGATAGTAATTATTAAATAGGAACTTTATTTTTTGTCTTTATTGAAAGAGCTATATTAAATAGCACTTCGTTAAAAAACGTTTATTCAAGAGTGCGAGGAATGTGGAAAGCCGTTCTGTGAGTAGCATTTATAGAAACAAAAACAAATAAAAATATATACATACTTATGTATATGCTGAGTGCCAAGAGCTGTGGCACCGAAATTCTAAAAGTTTCCGCACAAATACGTACAACTACTTTCTAAAATGTAAAGTGGAGTTATAATTATAATATCTGACACTACATTAGTGTTGCCAGATTTTTTTCCAGCCATACGGGACAAATGCATAATTTATCCCAAAAATACAGGATTTACAATAATTTAACGGAACAAATGAGAAATAAAGGATTTGCTTTAAAAGCCCATATATTAACAAAGGTGATATATTTCAACGAAGTAATGTTCAGACAACACTTTTTAATTTATACAAAAATTTGTATGTACGTAGACATATAATTGACAAAACCATAAAAACAAAGTAAGAGATACAGTTGTGGTCAAAATAATAGCAGCAAAATTCAAAATGATGCTGTTGGCAACTCTTTTTTTATTTATTGTTAATAATTTTCGTTTAAAATATGGGTCGATCTTTACAAGATACCTCAAAAATTAAAGTCTCAAAGCCTGCAAAAATTTCACAAAACCTAATTAAACTTAAAAAAATGTTCATCAAAATTTCGATGTTTTTAAGCAGATTTCCTAAAAAGATTTCGAATAGCTTTATAGCGCATTCAACTTTAGTGTAATAAAGTGCAAGTTTCAAGCCCCTAAAATTACCATTGATTTTTTAGAATTTTTTTTGTGGAGGGTGTTGCGCATATTCTTCCATATAAAAGTCAGTTTTGTTCATGCTTGATATGGAAGAAGATTCGAAACACTCACCACGAAAAAATTCTAAAAAATCAAAGGTAATTTTTAGCTTTATTTCTATTACACTACTACTATATAATGCTTGCTAATGACCTACTCACAATCTGTGTTGCCGTTGAGAATTTTTAGAAAGTGGCAAAAAAGGGATCATTGATGAAAAGAAGGTTCACCATATTATTTTTGCTTTTCTTTACTAGCAAAAGAATAAATCTGTTGAATTAAAAAAAAGCGGGACAAGCTTTGCCTGTGCACGTATTTAGTGCCAGGCCCGGATTTGGTATTGGATTGATGTCTTCTATACGAAAAGAAGGTTGCCGGGATGACTTTCAGCAGCAGCTCGAACTTACTAAAATGCCGACTCTTACAGGTCTATTCTGCGCTGGTTATAAAAATTTTGTAACCGGTAAATAAAGTTCCTATACATTTTTAAACCCTTTACGCATTCTTGCAACCGGTAAATTTTGTTACCATCTCATAAGCAGGTAATACAGTGATATATGCAATTCCAGAATTTCCAAAAATTTTCATTGCTGAATTGCTGAATATTTTAATTGCATTACCAACATACCTAGAATCGCGGTGACAAGAACTGTAGTTTTGAAATAACAATGTTTTTGTAGGCACCACAATCCACACCATACATGGAAATGATTCTATTTGGCGGCTAAAAGATTCTCATCATATGTTATAAGACTTTTTGATAATAGCGACCGGTATTTGCATAGGAACCGAAATCAGAATACACAAGGGATCGATCTAAATCTTCTTGGGACTTGAAATAGTTCTTCAAATTTCAGCCGAAAAATAAGCAATTTAGAATATAAACTAATCGTTTGAACTTTTGACAGAACTATTTTTTCCGAAATTTGCCTTTTTATTGATTACATCCCCGCATTCGGCTGCCTGCCATTGGGGATAATGCATTTTCCCGTTAAATGAAAGATAAGAACATATCGCAGAGTGTTAGGTTGGAATAATATCTATGTACAAAATTTGCAAAATTATACGTCTGTCAAACTTTTCGAAGGGAATGTCTGATCAACAGCCGGATTCCAACATTCTCTATCGCTAATTTTGATCGCCAAAAAAAACTCCAAAAGAATATCAGGCGCGCCTAACATCATGCAACACCTAGTTCGATGCTCAACCCTCATGCTACCAGATTTGTTTGATTATACATTGCATCTGTTAATTATTCATATTTGGCGACGACATTGCAGAATTTCACTGCAGGAGCGAATTCCGATACTCGCAGAAAAGTATGAAGTGCATACGTTCATACATGTGCAGCAAGGAAAAGAAAGTGTGTTTTAATATCAAAAAGACCATGATGACCGCTACGTGTGTGCGTGGTAACAAACAGGGAAATTATTGTTGAAAAAAAAACAATGTAAAGGAAACAATAGTCAATTCAGCTGGCAGGAAGAAGGCAGGCAAGCAGAAAGGGACTACGTACTATTCATACATACATATGTATATACTTATGTATGGATGTATGTGCTTATAGATGTGTGTATTATGTGCCTAAACAAAAAAAATACAAACAACGAGAATGAAACATGACTGAATTGAAAAAAAAAATGCACAAAATAATGGAAAATCGAAATTTTCTAGCCGAATAGTGGTTACTGCAGTGGAAGTTTCGCATGGAAAACAGGTTGCCATAAACAACCAGTCACCGTGGTAATCATCAGTAATTACCTTTACGTGTAAAGCATTGCAGGTAACTAGACCCAGCAACGCACAAAGTAACAAATATGCATGCTTACATACATGCATATGTATGTATTTATGCGTTCGTAGATGTATAACCCAGTAGGCCGCTAGGTAGTCCCAATTATTAATACTTTCCATCTGATGAGCATAACTACCTCTATGACTATTCCAGGCGATGGTCGCCTTTGCATGAATGACTTTGCGTACTAAAAAAAACAATAAAGTGAACTCGTTCATAATCGATCGTGCGTCCATGCTAATTAATAGGTGCACATGCTTTTTTCTTCTTATCGTTTTGATAGAAACGTTAGGTAGTTAAAAGTTATGCACCAGCTTAGTTTATCCTGCTTCATTGTAGAAAGAAGTAGTGCCTCTCATTTCATAGCCGTCAAATTCATGTATTCATGACTGTCGTATAGCAAACTAAAAATACCATATATCCTGGCATGAATAACATTCGCAGTACCTAAGAAATTTGCCTAGTGGCTGATGTATTACATATGTACGCGATATGTACTTACAAATACTAATTTGAATGAATGCAAAGGTAAAAATATTGTGCACTGCAGTGGATGACATTTGATAGTATTTGTATTGTATCTGTGTTGTCTGCGTTGAAGGATACAGTTGTGAATAAATGGGCACAGACAGCATGTTAACTTATGGCTTTTTCGTTTCTACCAAAAAAGGTTACCTTCTCTTTGCCCTCTACGCACAAATACTAAGAATAGGGCAATGAGAAGGCTACATTTTTTATAGAAACGAAAACGCCATGACCTAACCTAAAATTAGGGTGATCGTGTACATAAGCATGTGAAGTGATACTCATACTCAGGTCTAACAAAATCTTACACAAAGCTGAAAACTCTGGCTAGTCATATATAGTTTTGGGCATAGATAGGTAACTACTCTTTCTCTCAGGAATTCAAAAGAAAGTTGTTTACGCGTTGTTTTAAATCCACATACGATACCGCCTGAGAGCAAAGGAAAATGTTCTATCAAAAGTTCTTAAACCAATATACCATGTTTTTATCTTTTTAGCTTAATTTTTTTAATGAACAAGGGAGTATAACATTTTTTAAAAATAAAAACCTACATATAAAGCTGAAAATTATATTTCCTTCTTGTCCGAGTATTTTCAACCAACCAAAATTTATTTTTTATCGACTTGGATTTTATATATTCATTTAACTTAAATGAATTAAGGATGCTCAGTTTAAACTTTGCTTTCATATTTCGACATTTAGTGGTATTTACATATTTATTTATTTCGATCTACAGATGATTCTGATAAAATATTTTTTAAGTCTTTTACTAAATACTAAATCCAAATATTGGTGAAACAGGGAAAATATAAGTGAAAACACCAAAAATAAAATAAAATGCTTAATTCAAAAGTTTCGCGAAACCCGCTGTTAGTAAGTATTTACTTATGAGCATATGTAGCTACTAAAAATGTACATTGTTCAATTTGAATCGTACAAATGAATTTCTTTATAAAAACTACCTACTTTCCGGAGCCGAGACAAGCTGCAAATATGATAAGAATGTCAAATAAACTTGGATCAATTAACACTACAAACTAAAGAATAATACGAACGAAATCAACCAAAATTGTTTGCGCCACCACACTTTTACCAAAGGTCAAAAAGTTTGCAGACGACAACCCGTAAATGAACTAACATTTGCCAGAAGCAAATCCTTTTTTGTCAATAAATACTCCGGGCAAAGTTAGAGGCGACAAGCACCAACATACATACATGGCGTTTGGTATATTGTAGAATTTGGGAAAATATTCCTTTTTATCTATTCAATTATCGAATTTGCAAAATACCACAAATGCGATCTAAATACTCCTGCATAATAATTTAAATTACAATACTCGTCACTATTGTATAATTATCTAATCCCTTTGATCTTTCGAAAGGCCAGCTAGCCGCAGCTGCCGGTTGTATAGTTGTATGTAAGTGGCTAGCAGACTGACCCGCCGTTGAGAGGAACACAAAGAGCTTACAAGATACATTTGCAAATAAGGGAGGAGATGGGGTATAGCCGCAGTGGGGTGTAGTGTTAAAAGTACTGAAGTAACAAGTAAAAATACGAAATGAGAACCGACTATACGAAACTATTGCAATTTCTTGACTTTATTCAAATGGTTTATGCGCTTTAATCCAACTAAATTTGGTCAAATAAATATAGATTTTATCGATATAACTTAAAAAGTTACGTTGTCTACCGTCGTTTTCGACGTATATCAGAAAATTTGTGGTTTTTGATGGGAAAGTTTTTGTTGAAGTTCTTCTGAGTGATTCTCAACAGAAATGACCGAAACCCACCGTCAGCGAATTGACTGGACCTTTTCAGTGTTTTTTTAGGCCTGGTAAATCCACCATAGACCAGGTATTCACAATACGCCAAATCTTGGAAAAGACCCGCGAGAAAAGGATCGACACTCACCACATATTTGTCGACTTCAAAGCCGCTTTCGA